ACGACCACGACCACGACCACGACCACGACCACGACCACGACCACGACGACCACGACACCGACTACCACTACCACTACCACTAGGACTACCACTACCACTACGACTACCACTACCACTACCACTATACCACTACCAACACACTGTCAGAAACACGCAAAGGAGAGCCGCCAACCGGAGGCGACGTTTGTGGCTACAGCAGTTAATGTACGATAAAATGCTTGCTTGCTTGCTTGCTCGCTCGCTCACTCGCTTGCTCGCTTGCTCGCTTGCTGCTTGCTCGCTTGCTCGCTTGCTCGCTCGCTCGCTTGCTCGCTCACTCGCTGGCTCGCTGGCTCGCTTGCTGGCTCGCTGGCTCGCTGGCTCGCTGGCTCGCTCGCTCGCTGGCTGGCTGCCTGGCTGCCTGGCTGCCTGGCTGCCTGGCTGGCTGGCTGGCTTGCTTGCTTGCTTGCTTGCTTGCGCGCTGGCTTGGTTCTCTGCACGCTTGCGGACAAACTTGATTGCTTGCCGGCTGTCTGGATTGCTTGCTTGGTGTTTTCATGTTTGTGTTTGCGGAAAAGGTCTCTTGTTATGCCATAGTCTTTGGGTTTGTTTGCGATTTCGATGTGTTTCTTCTTCAACTGTAAGCTGAATGAGCGTGGTGTTGGTCGTTGAGTTGGCTGGCTTATGTGAGAACTTGAACTGTGAACAGCCGCACGTTTTCTTGGCTGTTATGGCTCGTATCCCCCGGCGGTGGGCCGGCTACGCAAACCCCCTACTCCGGACTCCAGCGGGGCCGGAGTATAGGGCGCGCCCGTACACGACATCACGCCAAGGGACGCTGTATGTACTGCAGGTACTGGGGTATCTATCGAGCACAAGACGCAATCCGAATGGCAAATTAGAAGTGCATCAGCTGCGTGAGTAGACACCTAACTAACAAGCCTATAGAAAAAGAAGGAAAGAAAAAGAAAAAAAGCAAAAGAAGAGGGCAAGAGAGAAAGATAGGTGTTGTGTCACGCGCATCCTTTGAGCAAGAAGTGCTAACTGGATGGCTAATTCAAGGTAGTGAATTGCTGAGCGTAAGTGCCATCTGTATGGCAAACTTAAGGAATGCATCAAGTATGGTGTGGCTGGATACTAGGACAGCAGTATCAAGACCACATGGATAAGCATACAACAACTGCTCTGACTGAATCCCGGAGTACGCAACAAGCATGCTCATTGCTGCGTTTGCAGGTCGCGTGCTGGATGGTGTGCGCTTGCTCTTGGCTGTTGACTAAACCAGTAGACAGGTGGCCGAAGGTGTAAAGTTTGGTTATGGCGAGTAGAGTGCAGCTGCTTTTAAAGGGCCCGAGGGTGTGAGTGTTAGGCGCCCGTGAGGGTACTGAGCAGTGAGAGACGTAAGTGGTTGCGGAATGCAAAATGGTGGAGAACCGAAAAAATCCGGAAGGGAACTATTGTGATGGAACCGTTGGTGCGTGAAAGGCAATTTCGGTGGGACGAGTACAAGTAAGATCGCCGGTCGTGAGTTGCAACTTATGGAGGTTGGGCAGTGGCTGGATGTGTAGAAAGAGGGGTGTGTGTGTGTGTGCGTTTTGTAGTCACAGGGATTCTTTTGAATTGTTTTCTTTTACAATGAGCAGGGGGACTGCCTGGCCTGTAACAGTGGCAGTCCAACGAAGAGGCTGTTACAAGTCACTGATATGGATTCTGGACGCAGAATCCACGTACCTGCCTGATTTTTAACCTTTTCTGCAGACATGCACGACACGCCATCACTTCGACCCGATCGCCGTCCTCGATCTTGAGCTTTTGGCCTCGCTTCCTTTTGAAGACCCCCAGGCTCTTTAGGGCTTTCCTGGACCTTTCAGGATTTGGGTTTCTTAGGCTGGCGAGTGGCACCGCTGTCAAGTCAGTACGCATGTCCATAAGTGTGTCTCTCCTAGTGAGAGTCCGGGATGAGCCCGTAGAGTGCCTCCCGTGGGCCCGTTGAACGGGCGTCTGTCCATGTTCCCCGGCTTTGGGAACGTACGTGCCCACAGCGGGCGGAGGTTTATTGAATTCCAAGATGGCTCATGCCTTTTACGTGACCGCAGCGGTCTGAGGCCAGCCACTTTGGTAGGGCACAAGGTGACCACAGCGGTCAAAGTACTGTCGCGACCTTAGTCCCCTTCCTCCCCCTCCCTCCCCTTCTTCTCTCTTCCTATTTTGGTGTAGTCCTGAATGTAACCCCTCTCCTTGGTGTGTCCCTGGACGCTTGCGCGTAGCTGTAAAACACCTGTTTTCGGTCTTTTTTCCTCTCTCCCTCTTCCCTCTTCCTTGGGTGTCCCTGGATGAAAGCTGGGAACCCTTCTCTTCTTCTCTTGGTGTGTCCTTGGACGCTTGTGCCGTAGCTGGGAACACCTTCTTTTCCTTTCCTTTCTTCTTTGAAATTGATTAGTGGCACGATCCGGAGGAGGGCGCGCCCTCGGCGGCAAAGTTCCCTTCAGCGCTGGTGGTGGTGCTACCACCTCAGCAGGCACGTCTGAACCATGCTGGTCTGTATGAACAAGATGGGCTACGACCGCCAACTGCCTGGCGGTGGGGCAAGCGTGAAGGCGATTCGAAGTACTTCCGCGCCCACACAGGCTGGTCTGGGCAAATGTCTGCGATGGGCCCCAAGCGACTCTGGGATTGATGCCATAGGTCATGATGCACTCTCCGCAGGTGTTCATGCACTGCTCTGCCACTCGGTCGCCATTTAGAAGACCACCGAGGGCCGGGGCGCGAGCAATCCCTAGCCAATTCTCTGCCTTCACCTCTGCTCTCAAGGCCTCATCGTCAGCTGGAGACGAAACAGCCTGAGCGTGAAAAACAAACATGGGACACCTTGCCCATGCAATGTGTCTGGCCAGGCCTGTCCAGTCACGAAATCTCCCTTGGCAGTGGCGGCATTGCGGCATTCCGCCTACAGCGTCACGCAGGGGAAAGAAAGCCTGTAAGCTCCTGCTTTCACGATGGTGCATGGGTGATATGTCTTTGCAAATGACTATGGCTCATACAAACTTGAGAACAGTGAGGGCGCGCAAGCAATTGAGGTGTGCAGACCCTCTGAGGGGCAGTCGGGCGCAACATGTCCAAAACAAGACGAAAGTGAGCGTCAAAATCGATTGAACGCAAGAAGTCATCACTGAACAACTGGTTCGGCTGGGCAACCCCTCGATTTGGAATGCTTTTGGGGAGGTTGCCAGCACAATTCTGCCCACACAGACCTTGTCGTTCCTGCCAGTGAGAGAGCCAGGCGTTACGGAGGAAGACATCGATGGAGGGGATGTTCAGCCTGCTCAACAGTTCAGTTTGCTTTCATGTGTGAGGTGGCTGGGACTCCTGGCAATTCGTCGGAGATCACGCAGGCACGCCTTCTCAAGAACCTCAAGACCCATTTTTGTGACTCCGCAAGCCATGAGTCCATAAGTGTACGAGGTCCTGACACAGGTCGACCAAACTCTCACTCCGTCATGCAGGGACAGAGTGCGCCGTCGAAGGAGAATTGATCTCAAGCGTGCACATGTGAGTCTGCCAACGCATATGCGGTGTTTCATGGTCAATTGTTCAAAGTTGCAATAACTGATCCTAACCCTTAGATACGTATGAGCGCGTGTAATCGGCAATCTAGTGGTAAGTCCCCGATCCCGGGGGATGAGAAGAAATTTCTCATGGCGTTGATCTTTAGTCCACATGACTCTATTAGGTCAAGAAACATGCCAATTTCAACCAAAGCCTTTCTCGCATCGTCCACGCTCGTGAAGCTCCAGTGGCTGAGCAAATCGTCAGCAAACACCAGCAAGTGAGCTAGAATCCACTCGTGTCCCAAGACTGGCTGGTTACGGAGGCGATCAAAAACAGCGAACATGAACACGTTCCATTCTAAAGGACTTGCCACACAGCCCTGACGCACCCCCGTCGTGGGGGTCAGCTCACACATCTCCCCTCGGTGAGAAAGAATGTAGCGGGCATCAGTGAGCCACGCCTGCAACAGAGCAATGAGGGAGGGGGGACTTCACGGAGCAAGTGCTCAAGTCCAAGCTCAAGCAACAACCCCCTGCCAACGAGCGCGCACGGCCTCCATCCCGACGTTGCCAGACGGTGGAGGAGGCCTGCTGACAAGCTTGGCGGGTGGTTCGAAAGTGTGCGAATGCAAGAATCAATGCATCAGTTGTGGCGCGTTTGGGGTAAGTATGCAAAAAGAAAGACAGAGGACAACACAGGACAAATCTTTTGGCCTTCACGACGATCAGGCTCAACACCGTCTTCCCCAGCAGGTCCGTTAAGGCGATCAGACGGATGTCCTTGGGAGACTTGACAGTGCGTTTGGCCAAAAGTGTCAACCATGCATGTTTCCAACAAGAAGGGATGATCAATCCCTCAACCAACCACAACTGAGACAACAATGCATGACAATGCTCTGCAAGAGGTTCAGACAAGGCCCTCACTAGAGCCGGCGGCATGGAGTGAGGGCCAACAGCTTTATGGAGACGAACCTTGGCAAATGCATTGGCAAGTTCTTCAACCGAAAAAGGCATGTCTTGCAAACGCTCACATGGCAAGGTTGGGACCGGAGGTCGAGGAACACAGAATACATGTTGGCAATGTTCATGAAGCACCATCAAACCCTCGTGTGGGCTCAGGGCCAAACCAGCAGAGTCCCTAAATCGGATCAAATGTCTCGGTTGTTTGGGACACAAGTGACGAATAACACCGTACAGCGTTCTCAGATCATAGCTGGAGGCGGCTATTGATGCAGACGTTTGCGAATGGCTCGATGGCGGACAGCGTGAAACCATGCCTGAAATCCACTCTCAAGGTCTCGAACTTGTGTGCGACACCAAGTGTGGTAGCGCCTCCACATGCAAGCAACCAATCTCCCAGAGGTAGGCGACAACCATTCAGGGGAACACCTATCAACCACCCCCCTGGTCACCGAAGGGAAAAGTGGTAAAACAGAAGGGCTGGCGGAAACAGCAAGGTCATGACAATAATCTCTACACCACTGAGTGAACGATTGCAAGTAATCAAGTGAAGGCTCCAGTTGTGCAAGCTGCAATCCATGTTTCCTGAGACAAGAGTGCAATTCCCACTGATCCTGAAGGCCAAAATCCATGAGTCTCACAAAACCTGCTTTCAGGTCATCTAGTACCTTGCAACAAAACGATGGCATAGTTGCGCAAGGTGAGCCAACGCACAAGCTCATGCCACGTACTAGTTTGCAGCCCACCTGTGTTCCACGAGAAGAGACCAACGCGTGGTCGTCTAGAGCGAGGAGGTTTCCACGAAGTCCGGTGCTGGGCGCTGTGGCTGCGCCAGCATTTTCACGAGTTGGGCACACCAGGGATTGTCCTCTATAAGTGGCGTATCCGTGAACGGCCAATCTCCGAAGCGCTCTACGAAAGGACCTTTTCACATGGGCTCTAGGGGTTTACGGTCCCCAAACCAGGTGTGCTTTGGGACGAGCTCGGAACGAACCTCTCTGCTGCCTGGTCAGCAGAGAACCCTCACCTCTATATTCGCCGATGAAAGATCGAATGAAAGGTCAAGCTGCGATGGGTCAAACATCTTCTTGAACAGCTCGCCAGCGCAAGGGCCAATGCCGGACTTGGGACCGGCCGGCGCGAAGGGAACGCCTACCCAGGGCGGCGCCGCCAAAGAGCTGCAGAACCAGGCCAGCAGCACACAAGCGCCAACCATCACCAGGGTGAAGAGGCACACGGCCCAGCCCCGCTCACGGGGGACGGACCGCAGGGTCCATTCGTGCCGCAGGGTCCATTCGCGACGACGACGACGACGACGACGACGACGACCACCACCACCACCACCACCACGACCACGACCACGACCACGACCACGACCACGACCACGACCAC